TGTGTGTGTGTGTGTGTGTGTGTGTGTGTGTGTGTGTGTGTGTGTGTACGTTCTGCATAAAGTTTCATGGTTTTTTACATTTTGTGAATCAAATATACATAGTTTGAGGTTTGATAGTGCCTCTGGCTGAATAGATAAGTCGTCATTCCATATAGAATGCGTAAGCTACACCGTCAGATATGTGAATTTTTGCTATTCATTACATTTTGTAATCGTTGACAATTCTTCCATTGTAATTTTAAACTAAATTGAAAACCATTAAAAAATTAAAAATATGAAGCAAATATTTTTATTACAAAATAGCCACTTTCTAGTGAAATCAATCATCGAAGTTGCATACATTTTTCAATGATGTAATGGAGCGTAATGACTTTTAATTACAATTATTACAACCAGTGATTAATATGCATTGGCTTTGTGATTACTGAGAATTTTTTTTATCGAATTACGAGGATTTAATGATTACTTTCCAACTCTGTGCAAAAGAATTTCATCCATGTTGGTACTTGGTAGTCAAATAACAATGGAATTTTGGCTTTTCCGTTTATCAAAGGCACTAAATAAATCTTGTTCCGTATTGTTAAAACCAACTGATTCAGAGTGAAAAAGAGAGAAAATGTACGTGGAATACACTCGTCTTTCTGCGCTCATATTAACAGTTCGAAAAAATTTCATTCAAAGGCATTTGACATGGCATACAGATTGAATGCGAATGGCAAAAGAGTTAATTCGATTTTATTAACACAAATAAATAAATTTTCAAGCCGAAGCGTAAAATGAATTCGATAAGGGAGTACACACGGTATTTTCTTTGCTTACTGTTTCGTATATCGTATTCATTTTTATTTACCTCGAGAGAATAGACAACAGAGATACAATAGATAATGGATAATCCACACCGTGCAAACTGCTAAAGCTGAATATTAGGCCAGCACCAGAAACCGCATGTTTCAAGTACACGAATACTATAACAAGAATATTTCGGTTGAAGGCACCATAAAACACAAATATACTATGTACTTTACAGTCGCCAGAATGAGTGCGAGAAAACAGAGAGAGAAAAAGTGAAGAATGAACAAAAAAAAAATATCGGTACATGAGCACCACTAAGATGGTCTTCATAAATATACAGTGTGAGCTTTATTTTTTCTCGCTTTGTTCTTTACATTCATAAACTCTTTATTTATTCATAACTCTTTTGAGCTCTCTTTCTCACTCGGTTTTTTTTTTGTTTGGTTTTGTCTCACTTTGGAATTTATCATGATCGGGTAGCATAGCGTAGCGATTAAATGTATGTTGGTATTCAAGGTTTCATTGTTGCAAGCACCGTTCAAGCAGTGGATGCAGATTAAATGAAAGTGCTGGCAACATTGTGGTTGGCCTAATGACTCCGTCAATATATCCACTGCGATGAACAAACCTTGCGCTGACAAACACTTGAAACCATCACAAATACAACGAAGGCAAGCAACTTGATATTCATAATGACGATTATATCGTTGAATGATTAAAATATAATTTGATTTGGTGAATATATAACAATATTTTTATCGTTAGCAACTAAGCAATTGAAAAAAATGAAACAAAAACCAAATGACAGAAAGAAAAAAGATTTCCATTCTATTTTCTTCTTCGTCTTGAACCTGCCACACTCAGTTTTTCTATAATTTCATTTTGTTTTTCGAATTTGTGCTATTTACGCTGGTGATTTGGCCGCGTCTCTGAATGACACTTAACTTTTTTGGTGACTGAGTAATTTTCTGAACGGTGCAAAAGATTATTTTCGTTTCACTTGAGATATACTTTCACTCGACGTCTCATGAACCAAAAAAAATTGATGCAGATTAAACTAATAATATCCAACGTCGGGCGAATAGATAAGAATGAATAGGTTGCACAGAAACTTAAACGAAGAAAAGAAAACATAAAAAACCTACCATTCACTAAATAAAAAAGGGGCAACACGTCTAGGTCGGTTGTTATTTGCGTGACATTTGTTGTCATCGTCTTCATCGTTTCACTTTGGCGTCGGTACGATTTTTTTTTCTTCTTTAGTTAATAATATTTATTCTGAATTCGCGCATGCTAATCAACGAAAAAGTCGACCCAAACAAAAGCTACACTCCTCAAGGGGCGAAGCAGTACTAGATTCAATTCTATCAATTCCATTCAATTCCACTGAATTCTGTTCAATTCCAAATTAAATTCTAGTCCGTGTGTTTTAACTCATTTACTTCAGCAAATTTTAGGTAATGTGAATTTTTTGATTCTGATTGAACCAGGGCGATACAAAAAATTGACCAGAATTTGAGAATTGAAGAAAAAAAATTATTTATTTTTTTTGTCATTTTTTACGATTTTTCACCATCGTATGAAAAACACGGAAGACCGCTGAAATGGCATGTCTTACGTCCGTACAAATTTTGTATTTGCCATTTCAGCGGTCTTCCGTGTTTTTCATACAAGTCTTCCCAGATGGTGAAAAATCGTGAAAAACGAAAAAAATATTATTATTTTTTTTTTTCAATTCTCAAAGCCGGTCAATTTTTTGTATCGCCCGGTTCAATCAGAATGAAAAAAATCACATTCTTTAACATCCAAATCACGCTTGGCGAATAATACACGCAAGTGTCATTTTGCTGCTATATTGAGACTTTATATGAATTTCTTCTTGTAATACCTAAAATTTGCTGAAGTAAATGAGTTAAAAGCACACGGACTAGAATCTAATTTGGAATTGAACAGAATTGAGTGGAATTGAATGGAATTGAAAGAATTTAATCTAGTACTGCTTCGCCCCTTGACACTCCTGCATTTTTTTTGCCCTTATCTCGTCAGCCAGAGATTCAAAAGTATAACTACAAAAATTTCATGAACACTTCTTTACGGTTATCAACATATATTTATGTTAGAAGTAAGTCGCTTCTTAGTTGACACTCTAAATATCATAATTTTTCTTTTAAATTTTTTTCTGCACACTTAATTTTAAAAGACTTCGTTCAATTTGTTTTATAATTCATTCAACTCATTTTAATAATACGAATTAGGAATTGAGAGCAAAAGAAGAGTACCGAAAAGAATAATTTTTTTTAGCAACTTATAAGTGTTTATTTGAAATGACACGAAAAGAAAGAAGAATGCCCGACAGGAATGGATGAAGAAAAAACAACGAAGAAAAAATCGTATGAATGACGTAAACTGTAGAGAAAAATGATTGCATTTCTTCTTACGTTCCGAAAGTCCCATGGCATAGAGTTATTGCAGAAAAAGGCATGGGAAATCCAATGACATTTATTTGCGATATTCTACAAATCGTCCTTGCTTAATACATCACAAATTCATAGTCGATTGTGAGCAAACAAAATGAAAGTATATATAGTATATAGTATATATTATATACAGAATCTCTGAAGGCGTTTTGTGAGTGTACGATTTATGCAAACAACAATAACCCACACATATAACGAGCACACGATTAAATCCATGAATGTATGGCAATGGGCGGTAGGGGGAGATAACGAGAAACGAGTGTTTGTTGCGCGCGAAAAATCTTTATTACAAAGAGGATATACATAAACGCGTGTAAATATTTCGTAAAAATTCAGCACAGCATCCACAATGGTACGGAGAAGGAATGCCCAAAATCGATTTGTTAATTTT